GCATTTGTTATTGGTTGATTTCTTGATAGCAGCCTTTCTTTCTGGGGTGAGGTGGAATCTCAGTGTTGTTTTCATCTGCATCTCTCGAATGACCAATGATGTTGAACATTTTTTCATATATTTATTTGCTGCTTTTAGTTCTTTGTCCGAGAAATGTCTGTTCATTTCGGATGCCCATTTTTGAATTGGGTCTTTGAATTTCAGGGGTCTGATTTTTTTCAATTCTTTATATATTCTGGATAGTAGACCTTTGTCTGAGGTACAACTGCTAAAAATTTCTTCCCATATTGTAGGTTGTCTCTTAGCTCTTGGTAGTTTCTCCAGAAGCCTGACTTTTGAATAGTTGTTTTCTGAGTAATTTGGTCATTGGTGAGACTATTTTCCTCCAATTCTGTAAAAATTTGGAAACTTGGGCTGAAGGATAGACTGAAGAGAAAAAAAAAAGAAAGTCAGGGTTTTCTTTGTTTTTTTGTTTGTTGTTTTGAGACAGGATCTCACTGTGTAGTTCTGGCTGGCTTTGAACTCACTATGTAGCACAGGCTGGCCTCGAACTCATGGCAATACTCCTGCCTCAGCCTCCCGAGTGGTGTGATTACAGGCGTGCTCCACCATGCTCAGCCTGGCTTTCTTTGTTTTGTCTTGCTTTTGCGTGTAAAACCATTCTTAAACTTGGTATTGTATTAAGGAAGAAGAGTACTCTTAGAATTTTTGATAGATTCAACATACACTCTCAGTGTATCTGGTTTAATGATAATGGCAGTTCATAACCTGGCATTCATTAGCTTATTTCTGAGCCTGAGATTGCCACAGTTCCTAGGGCCACATTGTTTCACTTCCAGAAAGAAAGGAAGAACACCTTACCACCAGGCACCTAACAACAAAAGAGATCAGGACTTTGTTTGATTGGACAGCAGAGATTCCATATCCACCCCTGAACCAATCACTGTAGCCAGGAACATGCCACTCACTGACTGGCATAGGTCTGGGTTATGTCCTCATTCTTTTAATCATAGTACAAGATGCTGATTTGGTTACAGTAATCATGGACAACAACTGAAATCCGAGGCTAAGGTCAGAAAAAATCATATCCATGCAAAGCAGCAAAACTGCTATCTGTGTGTGCACGCACACGTGTTGCACACATGTGTGCAGGGTACTGGGGACCCAGGTCCTTCACATTAAGCTTCAGTATATCACCATTTATTAATTGATTGATTGATTGATTGGCAGAGTCTTGCAAAGTTACTAAATTGTCCAGGCTAGACTTGAACTTACAGTCCCCCTGCCTCAGGCTCCCAGCATACAGGTATTACATGTACCGCCATGCTGAGCTGCAAAACTGCTACTTAATGAGGGAGTGGTAGAATGTATTCTGGGGAGGCAAAACCAAAGTCTATTACAGCAACACCACCAAACCAACTGCATTTTTGCATCTTTAGGCTCTTCGCAAGAGAAGACAGCAAGCACGTGGTACAGATAGTAGGACTGCAAGAGCTCCGGGTGGATACTGTAGAGCTCCTCTTAGAGGTATTTAATTCTTCTTTTTTCATTACCCCTCCTAGCAGCCTAAGTCCAGGGAAAGAATTCATTTTGTTACTTAGCAAGTATCATGGACTCAGATCTAGACAAAAGTCAAGGACAAGCACAGCATTTCACATTTGTGAAATATAAGTCCTCTTCGGAGAGCATAGCTGATTCTCCACAGAGTTGATGTCCCAGTGCCATGGAGTGAGAGGTAGGGTATGTGGGAGAAGCTAATGCCAAGGTAAGGATGCTCTGGGCTATTTTCAGGGGCTGCTAATTGTGTGGGCTCTGGGGAAAACTGCTGGAGACAAAGGTTCTTCCTTTGGTACCGGGGATCAAACTCGGGATCTTGCGCTTGCAAGGCAGGTGGTAGAACCACTGAACTAAATCCCCGGCCCTTATTTTTTTATTAATAAATTTTATTTTATCCCATTTCCCTCCCTTAAGCACAAATATTCTCATTTAAAATAAAGTTTTTAGAAATACTTTCACATGGGGCTCAAAATTCATAGTACAATGAAAATACACTTCCCATTCCCTTTTTCTGAGGCAACTAATTTTATCAATTTTTTTCTTTTCGGTACTGGGGATCAAACTTGGGACCTTGCGCTTGCAAGGCAGACAGCGGAACCACTGAGCTAAATCCCCAGCCCTATCAACTTTTGGTATATCTTTTTGAAAGAATTTCTTTTATTTGTACCAGAGATCGAACTCAGGACCTTGCACTTGCCAGACAGGTACTGTGCTGCTGAGCTACATCCCCAGCCCTCTGAAAGAATTTTTAAATCTGCTATTTTTAATTAAACTTATTTAATGTAACAAGAACAATTTAAAATATTGTAGAAATATATCAGAAGATAGAAAATAAAGGCCCTTTTAATTTATATACAACCCCCTCCCTCGTATCCCTTGAGTTGTCCACTGTTACTAGTTTAGAATATTTACATTTATTTTCCTGTTCTGAGCATTTACCTTATGTTCAAATATATATCTGGTGAACCTTCTTTTAATGCAGTGGTCCTCAATGTTGGTTTTACATCAGATCATTTATGGACCTTTTTCCTTAAAAAAAATAGTTTAGCCTTTTTTTGTGAAAAATAGCACTATTCAGAAAAAGGCATGAAATCCAGCACTCTGGGAGGCTAAGGTAGGAAGATTTCAAGTTTGAGCCCGGCCTAGGTAACTTAGTGACTTTAGTGACAACTTACCTCAAAAAAAATTTTGTGAAAGAGAATAAACAAATGTTCATATAATCAACTACCCAGATCAAGAAATAGAATATTACAGCACCCCACAATTCCTTGTATACCTTCTCAAACACACATCTCTACTATCCTAACTTTTCTACTAATCACTTACTTATTCTTTGTTATAGTTTTACTATCTTTGTATTTCTCCCTAAACAACTTGCTTTTCACTTGATTTGAACTTTGGGTGAATAGAACCACATTGTATGCATTTTGTCTTGCATCTTTTGCTCAACATTATGTTTCTGAGTTATTTGTTTTTGCATATGGCTGTAGTTCTGTTCATTTTTATTTTCTGTATAGTATTTTATCGTGGGAATATACAATTTATTTATCTATTCCCTTGTTAATGAACAGTTGGAGTTGTTTCTGTTTTGGGTCTATTCTAAACAATGTAGCTAACAATGGGAATGTATTCTAGTATAAAGCGCAAGGATTCTCTAGTTGTGCAGTGATTGGGTCAGAGGACATTAACATCCTCAACTTCTATAAATGATGCCAATGTTCTCCAAAGAGGTATAATTCACACAAGCAGTATACGAGCAGTCTCATTGCTCTTCAGCTTGCCAACCCTTTGTATTAATAGATTTTTAAATTTTTGCCCATTTGGAAGTGTTTGACCACATCTCATTGTGGCTTTAGGGGGGTTTTTTGTTTAGTTTGGTTAATTTTTTTGAGACAGGGTCTTGCTGTGTAGCCCAGGCTGGCCTTGAAGGCATGGTGATCCTCCTGCCTCAGCCTCCCAAGTGCTGGGATTACAGGCATGCACCACCATGCCCAGCTCATTGTGGTTTTAATTTGTATTTCTCTAATTATGAATGAAATTGTAGTATACTGGGGATGTAGCTCAGTAGTAGAGCACTTGCCTACCATGTATGAGGCTCTGAGTTTGAACCCAGTACCAAAAAAAACAAAATAAAGAGAAAAGGTGAATATCTTGGGTTCTAGGAATTAATCCAGGCATTCTAACACTGAGCTATGTCCCTACCTTCTATATTTTTAATTTTTAATTTGTTTTTTGTTTGGGGGAATGCCGATTTGTGTATTTCTCTCTTTTGGGGGACATGTGTCTGTTCCTTACCCATATTTGTGTTCTGGATTTGAGTCTTTTATCAGTTATTTATTTCATAATCATAAGGTCTCATTCTATGGCCCATCTTTCCACTTTCATCATATGTCTTTTTTTTTTTTTTTTTGTACAGGGGATTGAACTCGGGACCTTGCACTTGCAAGGCAGGTGCCAGAACCACTGAGCTAAATCCCCAGCCCTTTTTTTTTTTGGAACCGGGGATCAAACTCCAGTCCTTGCACTTGTGCAGCAGGTGGCGAAACCACTGAGCTAAATCCCCGGCCCCATCGTATACCTTTTAAGTCTTCCTCAGGTAATTAAATTAGAAACTCCTAGTGATGAGGCCCAGGCATGTGTATTATAATTATTTTATATTGAAATATAGTTCATATACCATAAAATTCAGTTTTTTAAAGTGTATGAATCAGTGGAATTTTAAATAGTTTTTTTTACTAGGATATTTACATACTATAATATTCACCCTTTTAAAGTATACAGTTTGGCATTTTTTTTAGTGTATTGATAAAGCTGTACAAACATTGAATTAATGCCAGAGAATTTTTATCACCCCAAAATGAAACCTTGTACCCATTACAGTCACTCCCTACTCCTCCTGCCAAGTGCTTGGCAACTACTAATTTCTGTCTGTATGGACTTGCCTAGTCTGGCTATATCATATAAACAGAAACATATAATATGTGACCTTTTGGCTTCTTTCACTTAGCATATTTTCATGTTTTATCTTTGCTGTAGCGTGTATCAGTACTTCATTTCTTTTTATGGCTGATTTGTAAATCCCATTGTATGGGTAATACTACATTTTATTTATCCATTGAGCAGCTAATGGATATTTGGGTTCCCACTTTTAGCTAAGAATAATATTGCAATGAACATTCATATACAAAGTTCTTAGGTGGACATGCTTTCCTTTTCTTTGGTATATCCCTAAGAGTGAAATTTCTGAGATACTTTTTGAGGAACTGTTACACTGTTTTGTAAAGTAATTGTAGCATTTTACATTCCCACCATGAGGGTGGGTATTATTTGAGAAGACCCCTAGCTGATTCTAATTGCAGCCCTTATAGTCATCCTTCTAGCACAGTGATGGTGAACTTCTTAGAGCTTTCAATGATACAAAGAGCCCACTGCAGCACACGTGCCACAGGTTTGTCACTGCTGTTCTAGTACATCCAGCAAGCCTGGCTGGAGTAAAAGGAGAAGACCAGCACAGGCTGGGGACTTGTTAGGACTTATCTAAATTATCCCTTTGCAGGGAGAAGTGTCTCAGCTTTTGACCAAGCTCAAGGTACCAGGGAAGGCAGTCAGTTTGGCATCGTAAGAAGGCACTTCTCTTTTTTTTGGTACTGGGGATTGAACTCAGGACCTTGCACTTGTGAGGCAGGCAGCAGCACCACTGAGCTAAATCCCCAGCCCCAGTTTGGCATTGTAGAAATTTCTTCAACAAGCACCAAAGTTAAAGCCTTTCTAGCTGATTCTACACTTGATCTTTCCTGCCTTTCTTCTCACTATGTTCTAATAATAAATAATGAACACGTCCTGTCTACCAGATATTTGCAAATATCATCCCATTTAATCATCACAGCACTACGAAGAAATCCTTTTTCCTTGGCTATAGCCATACGTGTGCAATGGCCAGTCTGTCAGCCTCTATCCTGGAAGATTTTATGGCTCTGTCCTGTCGTGAAGTATTGTTCCTAAGTATTGTTTCTTGTTGGTCAACATATTACTTTATCACCATTGATACCCTCAGTCTTCAATACTTATGCTTTGTACAAGTAGGAAGACAGCTGAGATCAAAGTCGAAAGTTGATATAAATTATAGATATCTGACACAATCACCTCATAAACATTTATTGACTTGAAACAACAGCACTTGCTAACTCAGGTATCACACACTCATTCTCAGGTGTTGCTCTCTATGCCACTCAAGTATCACCCGTGTGTGTGCTCAAATGTCATCTTCAGGCGTTACCCTCAGATTGCCCTCAGGCTAGCTGGCTGCCTCATGTTAACTGAGGATTGTCCTCCTTCAGGAAATTTCTCCCACCAGGTGTATTTGATTACCTGATTTACTAATGCAGGCATCAGGACTCCTTTGCCTTTAGAGAGAACTCACTGCCTCATCACATTTCCCAGACTCAGAATTAACATATTACCAGGTGTAGTGGGGCACGTTTTAAACGCAGCTACTCTGGCAGGTGCTGGAGGATTGCAAGTTTAAGCCCAGCCTGGACAACTTAGTGAGACCCTATCTTAAATAAAAAGGGCAGGGGCAGGGGCAGGGCCAGGGCCAGGGCCAGGGCCAGGGCCGGGGATTTAGCTCAGTGGTTTTGCCGCCTGCTGCGCAAGCGCAAGGACCAGAGTTCAATCCCCGGTACCAAAAAAAAAAAAAAACATGGGGTGGGGGAGCAGGTCCAGGGCTTTAGCTCAGCAGCACAGTGCCTGCCTGGCAAGTGAGAGGTCCTGAGTTCAATCCCCAGTACCAAAAAATAAAAAGGGTTAGGGATATAGCTCAGTGGTAGAGAGAGATTTCAATTCCTAGTACTGCCAAAAAAGGGGGGCGGGGGTTGCCAAGCTATTAATGAGCTGGGGTTTTTTTCTGTTTCAGAGATTCACAAGCTTTTAAGTCATTTTACATAATCATAGTATACATTCTGATGATAAAT